CAATGTTCTTGGAACCTCTTGGAATGTTGTAAAATGACTAGAGTAAGTTGTATTCACCTTGTTTGACTTATTTAGATTCAAGTTTCTCTTCTTAATTGTGAATTGACCATTTTGCCCCTTGGTTAATTGATTTTGCCCGTTTTGACCTTTGTTTCTGCTTTCGTTTCATTTGAGTTCCGTGACTTCATGGAAGGTCACATTGGTGTCTTAGGAATGATTTATATCTCTGTAGACCTTGGTTTTATCTTTTGCTTCCCCATTTCGGATCCGTTATCGGATCAACTTTCGGTTCATCACTGACGTACTAGGTTGAAAAACTTGGGCCGTCATAGTTTCCCTTGGTATCCTCAATGTAAAACCCTCCTATGAAAGTCACAAATCACAATAGATGAACATGATACCAAGCTTCAAAGCTTGGAAGGAAATGAAAAGAAAAAGAAAAAGAAAAGAAAAGATGAAAGAAGAAAAGGAAAGGGGGAGGGGAATCGGGCCTTGGCTGCGATCTCTCTCTCTCCCCTCCAACATATATATAAATATATAGCTTACAACCAAAACAAATCTCATGTGGGCCCCCCAAAACCTAAAATTACAAAAAGGCCTAAGAATAAGAAAATATCTAAAAATTAATAACGCGAATGCCCTAAAATTAAATATGATGTCCAAAACATCCCAAATTAAATATATAGGTCAGTCCAATATATCCCCAAAATAATAAATTCAAAGCATTGAAGAAATGAAAAAAGAAAAAGGGAAAAATGAAAAAAGGACAAGTTCTCACAATCTTCCCACCTTAAAGGGATTTCGTCCCCAAAATCCAGTCTTAACCAAAAATGAAGGTCAACCCAGGATATTTACAGTGTAGATCTCCGAGTATCCCATAATACACTTATAAATCCCAAAATTGAAGGAAATCACATATCCCTAGTGTCATTCGCTACACAAAGCTCTTGACATAACACACACGACAATTTTGGCCAAAAATTGCAGGAACAGTCCCATCCCAATTCCATTTGCTTCTAGGTGCTTATGACATGACACATTCTCACAAGAACGGTGACCACATGGCCACGTGACATATCAAAACTCAAACACCAAACACAATAATAAAGTGCACACAACCCAAGATAAAAGTTCTTTATCATCACCCAGCACACTAATTCTTGATACATCACACTCTCTCACTAACCCCAGTGAAAATCGAGCCATACTATCACATGACCCCACAACCAATCTTTAACGGCGAAAAAAATCCGTCTCTTAATGCATCGACACCAATAATATCAATGGAAGGCTAATACTGTATCAAGATCACTGATGAGCACTGAATATTGCATATTCGAGCCCCTAAATATACGTGTGTTAAGACCTAAAGTGATACTTCTATCCAGTTTTATACTGCTTTATGTTTATTTTATGTTTTTAGGTGTTTTCCCAAAGAAATGGTTAAAACTGAGCTTTTATGATGAAAAGACCGACATTGAAGATTACAGAGTTGTTGTTGGTCATCTGACACAAGTTTGGAGACAAAATGGTGATTTTGGAGAAGTTTAAGTACCAAGGCTGGAGCCTATATTCTCAAGGCTCGAGCACAAATCCAACTGAAGTAAGAAAATCAACTAAGGCAAAAAGGCTCAAGCCTAGATATTAAGGCTTGAGCCCAAACTTAAGGTGCTCAAGCCCTTGCAAAAGTGACCAAAACTGCCTCGGAATGCCAAAAGATGCTTCGAAAAATCCAAAGTTGCCAGATCTTGAGCCTTTATAAAAAAGCTCAAGCCTTTGTCAAAAGGCTCGAACCTAAGACCCCAAGGCTCGAGCCTCAGGAAATAGTGATCGAGCGCAATGACATAGTGATCGAGCACCATGAAGATTTATCTCTAAAATATTCGAAGTGTTGATGAAAAAGACGCTTCAAAAATTATTTAGAAAAAATTGACCAAGTATTGAAGTTCTGCTTGAGCTTTATCTCAAGAGGTTAGAGCTCAAGCCAAAAGGCTCGAGCCACATCTTCTAGGCTCGAGCCCTTGCTATTTAGTCAGACTTTTCAGATGCGGGATTTGTCTTAATTAAGTTATCTTTCATTCTAGATTGGCCCAAATGACCCTAGAAGACCTAAAAGCCCGTTTAACCCTTATTAGAAGTTAATTCCTCAATAAAATGAGGCACAAGGCCACAGATCTCATATCTCTTTTCCTAGTTATTATTCTCTCAGTTGGTGGTGGGTTTTAGGGTTTCAAAGTTAAAGTGTGCTCCATAAACGTAACCTTAAGATTTGGGTGAATCACGTATATCTTGTGCTCTTGTGTGATTGTTTTTATTCTTTGTGATTGCTTGTGATTATTTCTTATACAACGTTATTTATTTTGCGTTTCCACTACAGCAACTGTATCCGAGCATCCAGTTATTTGGGCAACAACTTTGACACATAACACCTATAGTGAGTCGTACGTAGCGGAATGTACTAGGAAAGTTTTGATTATTTTAAAAATAGATCTTGTGTTTTTCTAACTTACTTTATTTAGCAATTAATAAATCGATATCATGCAATATAAAATAAAGCAAAGTAAAGTTAGAGATGACATCATGATTTTAGCAAGGAAACCCTAGTTAATAAAATACGTCAACTGTTTGCGTGGGAAAAACCTCGTGGACTCTGCAGTCCAAAGTAAACCGATCCACTATGCTTGAAACAAAGTACACTAAACTTTGACTATAGCTCACACCCTATCGTTTTATTAAACACCAACCGCTGACAATCCTCTGGCTTTGCGACTACCCGTCCAACAGCAACTTGACCTTAGGCTTATGCTTGATCTTTGTAGAAAAGTAGCAGGTAGATCAGACAACACTTCTCGAATGCTCTAACCCTTTCAATATTCTATTCTCCAATCTTCTGAATTCGATGTAGAAGTAAATCTGCTTTTGTTTGATCGATGTAGATGCAACTGTATGATCACGATTAGTATTCGGATAATACAACTCTAAACTCACTAAGTGTTTATGTGTATATGCTCTGGAAAGACAAACAGAAAATTCTCTTAGAAATTTTAAGACAAAAATCCTCCTAAGGCTTTTTAATAATAATAAATTGATAATGCAAAAGCCGTACATAAACCAATATATATGACAAGGTTTATATAGAGTATAGAATGACCTAATCCCTCTGAAAATAAGGAAAAATTAGTGCATAGGATTTGGTACAATTCTAGACCAACTGGGAAAGAAACTTAAAATTGTATTGTGAACAGGACTTCTTGAACCGGTTCAAAGGGGCTGAACTGGTTCAAGATTGGCAGAAAGAATTTCAAAGCCAAACTTGAGCCTTTAAACTGGTTCAGAGGGGCTGAACTGGTTCAAGTTGTCCAGAACTTGAATTTGGTAATTTTTGTGAGTTGTACGCAGCGAAAAATACTCAAAAAGTTTTGTTTGTTTTAAAATAGATCTGTTTCATTACCAACTTTACTTATTTTAGCAATTAAACAATTAATCACATGTAGATAAAATAAAGCGAAGTATAAAGTTAGAGATGACACTGGGATTTTAACAGGGAAACCCAGTTGATCAAATACGTCAACTGTTATAGGAAAAACCTCGTGAACTGTGCAGTCTAAAGTAAACTAATCCACTATGCTTGAAACAAAGTATACCGAACTTTGACTCTAGCTCACACCCTATCGTTCTATGAAACACCAACTGCTGACAATCATCTGTCTTTGCGACTCCTCGTCCAACAGCTACTTAACCTCAGACTTATGCTTGATATTTGTAGAAGAGTAGCAGGTAGATTAGACAACACTCCTCGAATGCTTCAACCCTTTCAAAGTATGATTGCTTTTACTTCTGTTCTTTAATCGTCTGAATGATGTAGAAGAAGATCTGCTTTTGTTTGATCGTCGTAGATGCAATTGTATGATCACGATCAGGATTTGAATACCACAACTCTAAACTCACTATGTGTTTATGTGTATGTGTCTAAGAAAGATGACAGAAAAATCAACTCTAATTTTCTATAAAAATAATCTTCCTAAGGCTTTTAAAAATAATGAATTTGTATAACAAAAACCGTGAATAAACCAATATATATGACATGGTTTATATAGAGGTTTGCAAAGTCCTATTCCTTTTGAAAATAAAGGAAATTTTATACATAGGACTTATAAGGAAAGTTGGATTAAAAAGGTATAAAATAGAATAAGGAAACTGGACTTCTTTTACAATCAGGACATGTGGAACCAGTTCCCAAATTTGGTATCGGTTCCCAAAGGACAGTGAGTTATTCTTCGAAGTTTAGCTTCTGGAATCGGTTCCCAAATTCAGGTACCGATTCCCACTTGACATAATCCAATATGAATTTGGAAATTCTGTATTTTTGGAACTTTGAAAATATACCATGTATATCAATTTGTCCTAAGTGGGAAACGATGTCCTAATTGTTGTTCTTTCCTTTTGGATGATCAATAGTACTTTCCTCTTCTAAACAAACTTTTAATTCCACAGTCAATGTCAAGTCGGATATGATAACTGAAATTACAACTCGACTAGGACTTGTTTTGTTACCGAAATATGCCAATTTTACAAAAATATATCTCACAATTTTTAGCCTAAACACATTCTAGGGCAGTTCTGAAAAATGTGGAAAGTATAGAATGTGTCCTCACCTGTTTAGAATCCTTCCTAATGTGTTGTTCTTATCATTTTCTTCAAAAGATCTTCAATTATAGTAACTTTGAACAACTTTTCAATTCTGTAGTCATACCGACCAAGTAACTTGAATTATAACTCGACTTGGACTTGTTTTGTTTATGATAATTACCAAAAATAAAATAATATCTCACACCTATTATATATTTATATGGGAAGTATATATGGTGGTAGATGTAGGTTACTAAAGAAGGATGAAAATGAAGTTATTAGGATGACACAAACTTTGGTAACAAGCTTCCATAGATGTTTCTGAATTGTATTTTGATTCCTTCGTAACACAATGAACATATAGAATTATTTGAAACATAAGATCAATGTGGTTATTAATTAAAAGGACAATACTTAGCGACTCACTAGTGAGTAGGGTGAAGCTACTCACCCCTATGTGGTCTAATAACAAACTAACGCATCACCTTTAATACTAAAATAATTTATACCTTTTTCTGCTTTCTCGGATCAATCATTGAATAAATCGTATATAGTGTTTTTAGATATGCATTATTTTATTTTTAAATATGATGTGTTATTTTATTATTGGACTATATAGAGGCCGGGTGGGTAGCTTCACCCTACTTTGGTGAGTAGGCAAGCATTATCTAATTACAAATAAATATATTTATTAATTACAAATGTTGTGTGGGGGACCAATTTATAATAAAGAAATATACATATATTTTTCTGGGCCGTGGCTTTCTTGCTTAGTGCTTATGGTCTGTGGTGGGCTGTGGCGGGCTGTGGCTGTGGCTGTGGCTGTGGACCTTGCCCTGCTACACGGTTCGAGCTATGGCGAGGGGCAAAGATGACAATTGCAGCAACGGCAGACAGAATAGCCCATCGATTTCTGGAGCATGTCTGAATGAAATTGTCCCGCCACTGGTTCCACCAGTTCCACCGGTTCTTACAATACTTAGTGGCCTCCTTATGTACCGCGTTGAGGCTGCACTTTGGGTCGAGTGTTACATCCCTAGAGAGCGAGTTGAATAGGTTAGCTACAGCTTCGTCACTTCCGATGGCATTTTGAATGATTTGTTGGGAGGTTAGGAGGCAAACGTCCTCGACATTGCTGATGAGGTTGCCCATCAAGAAGACATAAGAAGTCACCTCTTTCCCTGCTTCAACATGAAACCTCTCGAAAGCTATCAGGTTGCGAAACAGGGGCTCAGTCACAGCGTCAACCACAATGCCAGGCAACCTTAGCACCCCGCCGAAGAATGTGATGTCTTTTAGGCTTTCGGACTCACTTTTGCTGAATTTAATTCCCGCTTCATTAAGCTCAGTCGCAGACCGGATAATTTCATCAGTGCCTACAGGATCGGAAGTGCTTGCTATCCCCTGATCTTTGTCGGTAAAGGGATCTTCCCAGAGTAGGCTCTTTCTATACACATCCAATACGTGCAAGCAGTTTCCCAATCTTAATTTGGTTGTGCTCTCTTCCTCTGAAGTGTAAGCCCTTGGGTCAACAATGGGGGAGGAGAAAAAGTTGAGTACGAGCTGATTCAGGAACTCCCGCTCATCTTGCTGCTTTTGAGTAAACTTTTCATTGTCAAAATGAAACAAAGAAATCAGAAAAAAAAATTTAGAAAATAATAAAAGACAGTCGAATGAAAACACAACCACAAGCTGTCAACAAATAGATTTAGAAAACTATTGTCAGACCAAACATGCCTATTTAGTTTTTTTATTTTTACTTTTTGTTCTTTAAAAGAAGTAATTGTGAAAAAAAAAAAGAAAAAAAAAAGAAAAAGAAAAAGAAAAACGAGAAGTTATGATGACCTGAGTTTTGTAATCTTCAACCGCAAGCAGCCTAGTGAGAACCAGCATGGGCAATTGATTTTCAAGCAAGAGCATGTCTCGCTTGATATATGGCATGAAATTTACCTTGCCATACTCGCTGAAGATGGGATCGTTTCGAGCATAATCATCCATAGTTTGAGGGGATGTGCAATAGAATTTTTTTCCCGGAAGATAGGATGTGCGCAAGATTTCAAGCATGAAACATCCATCCATAACCATCAACTGCAAGAACCTATTCGTATTTTCTTGCCACTCTTTGTCAAGACAATCATACGAATCTTTCAAATCTCGCTCCACTCCCGTTAGAGAGTTGACATACAAATCAAGAGGTTTCTTTGATCTTTTGAGGAAATGAAGCATAGCCCGGTGCTTGTGCTTCTCCATAGGTTTCAAATGTGCCTCACCATGATGGTAAGGGCCAAATGAGACTGTCTGAGGCTGATAGGCTTCCATGTTTGGATGTATGACTTTGTAGATCGATCGCTTCTTCCATTGCTCCATCTCTTTCTCTGTCGAACTATATCCCATGTAGTTGAGTTCATCGTTAACTTTGATCATCCACTCATTTGTATCTTTAGGTTGTTGCTTTGTTTTTCGCATGACTGTTTCTCGAGTTAATGTTATTCTCATAACTTGCCCAAGAAAAAATATGAGTTGGAACAACCTGCAGATTATGAATGCAATATTTTATACGATCGTTACAATGTAGCATAAAATACCTTTGCTCAACAGTCAAGGACTTTAATTGGAATAGATTGTCCCTGGCATTGGATTGATTCTGCAAACAAATGCCTCCACTTTTTATAAAAGCATATACAAAACCCTTTCTTTATTCATACTTTGAGTAACCACTTTCATTTATGGCTTTAAAGAAACTGATCCTCCTAGCGCGGGAAGGAATAAGCACTTTTTGCTTTTCGTGAAGGACTCTTTTTTGCTCTGGATGTTAGTCGCATTGATACAATTCCAACACGGAACGACTTGATTATATTGGCACCTTAAACTCTATATATATATATATTCGGTAAGTAACTTTTTATATATACTCTTTTTGAACAATGACATCCCTCAATTTTGATAAAGTTAACAAAGGCCCCCAAGCATACCTGCCGCATCATATATATGATGAAATGACCTATATACCCTTTGACTTGTCAACAACAAGCTTTGAATTATGAAATGACTTAAATGTCCTTCTAACCAATTTTAATCCCCTCTCTCACTGTCTTCTCAAATTCCCAGCACATCACCCCCAAAGTAATTATATATATATATATATATATATATATATCGTGTGTGTGTGTGTGTGTGTGGAGATTCAGTATGTAATAGCATTAACGGAGATGTCTCTTTCTAAGGACTCTTTTTCCATATATATACGTGTGGGTATGTATATAATATATATATATATGCAATATTGACTATATGAAACGTCAAGCTTCAAACAATGAAGCAAGCCAGAATTTAATTGCAAAATCCACAAACAAAAGTTGAGAAAAAAATTAAAATAATAAACTAAAAATCAATCTACATATAAAGTACAAATACAATATTTACACACGCCAATTAAACTGATTCCCTTGTTGTTGTCAGACATTTCCCAAAATATCAGCATAACGTTGAAGTGAAATTAAGGTTAGAGAAGAGTCACCAATGAGATTTGCAGAGGATTTCTCACAATCCAAAGGTTAGGGAAAAGGTAACATGGTCTCGCACCCAGCAAATTCACTCTTACCATACCTAAGTTGCAAGACCCATTCACGAACCCAAACCATAGCCGCACGATTTGAACCAATCAACAACAACACCCATCGCCAACAATCTTGCCGGAATCTACGATAATCGTTACCCGAATCGTCCCAAGCTTTTGTCCTCATCAATCGTCATCGTCATCAGAGTGTTTTCACTGCTACATCGTTGCAGGAATCTAATACTTTGTCATCGGAGTTGTGCTTTACTGTTGTCACCGGCAACCATTGTCGCAGTCATGTCAATTTGGTTGTCGCCGAAGCCTTTTGTTGGATCTTTGTCGTTAGAATCTTCATTGGAGCTTTGCCCTAGTCGCATGATGTGGAAGAAGACATGGATCTGGATCGTCCTTGGGAAAGACGGGAGAGGTGAGAAAAAAATAAAAAGTAAAAAATAGTATTAATATTGAATTTTCTCATTTAGGGCATTTCGGTCAATTAATGTTTTATATATTTTATATTAAAATTTGATAAGATATTCAAGGGTAAAGTAGACATTTCACATATTTTAAGGGTTTGTTTGGATGCAAAATTTGACAAGGGATGTCATTGTTCGAAAAGAGGTTAACTTTCATCTGACTGTCAATAGAGCAAATCTCAGGGGGTGTCACTGTAATTAACCCTTTTTTTAATATAGGAAAAAAAAAAAAAAATTAGCATAGGGAAGAAAGAAAATTGTAAATGATGCCTATACTTGGCCCTCTAAAATTATTTTTTCTCTAATGGGCCTTTAACAAATTTAGGTTCAAATTTTTTTGCAATATAATAACATTGTGTGTGTGTGTGTGTGTATATATATATATAATATAATATAGCTTCGTATAGTTATTGTATATGTTGATTGTCGGATACTGATAGGTTAGTTGTTTCAAATTGATGCTTAAATAAGAATTTTTAACTTTATTTTTTATAAGAGTAACAATAAGGGAACCAAAAAGAAATCCCCGAATTAACATCGAATTTGACGTGGTTGGCTATACTTATGACGTGTTAGACAATTATTTTTTTGAAACTGTTTAAATAGATAAGGTGGACAAAAACACGTTGGGACTTATCCGGAGAAATTATTTGGTGACCTTATCATTTTCCTTTTTATAATAAGGTAAAACGGATGTAAATATGTAAGTTCCATTTCTTTCTCCTTTTATCTTCTATTTTTCTTTTCAGTTTGAAGCTTCTTTCAATATTAAAACCCCCCCCCCCCCCCCCCCCCCCTTTTTTTTTTCTTTCAAATACTCTTTTTTGTACATTATTTCTAAACCAGTGGATTAGGAATATATATATATATATATATATATATACACACACACACACACAACATAAAGTATATAATATTATCAATCAATTAAACAAAAATCTCATTTTGTTAATATATACTTTACCCCAAATTTTATTAATTGATTCAGAGATTCGATTCCAACTTACAAAATTAAAAAAATCTCTCACACTTTTGAGTTGAGATCAAAAGTGAGTAATCAATAGGTCAGATTCTTGAATACCATATATAATAAATTATTTCATCTGTTCCAAAATAGTTCTGTTTTGAAAATTGTGCTATTTTGGGATGGAGAGAGTATATAATCATATTTTTTTTTAGGATAATGCTTCTAAAGTATGATTGCAATGTAATTATTGATACTTAATGGATTGGGTTGTACTTTCCAATTTGGTGGTCTAATTGGGAGTATGGTTTTATATCGTTGAATTGTGATTTTCTAACTTATTTGGTGTGATTTAATTCTAAGATATCTAAGTTTTCATGATAGGAAGGGAGACTCAGATATACTTGTTTGTAGAGAAGCCGTCCTCCCTATTGTTGTTATATATATATAAGGACGTATCGTATCGACAACTCTCAGAAGGGGGTAAAGCGTTCTAATTTTTCAGATCTTTCAAAGGGCAAATTCTCAAGGTATCTATCTAAAGTTTAATCTTCTAATCAGGGATGATATCAAAACCTCTCTTTAATTCATGATTAATTTTGATTTCTACATGTTATTTATTATTTAAACCCAACAAATATATATATCTATATATAATATGTATTTTTTTAAAAAATTAACATTTACTTTTTAATGTTGCAATTCATACTTATTTTTATGTAGCTCGAAATATGAGACTTGTAGCTGGTTCAAACGGAGTCTTGCTAATATTTGGCGAAGGTTGGTGTAAAGAACCTCTGAATTGAAAATAATGAAAGATAGATAGTTTAATATGTATTACACATGTGTTTCAGACTTTCAATTTTTGCTACATTATTAATTTGTATTACTATTAAATCAAATTCCTATTTGTTTATAAATTAAAGTCTAATTGTTTACTTGAAACTTTTATAATTTTTGGCTTAAATCTTATTTGTGTTAGGGAAGTTTGATAAAAATAAATAAAAAATATTAATAAAATACCTTCTTTAAATTGCCTTTTTTTTAAAAAAAAAAAATTGGCAAAAATTTAGCTAGATATATATATATTTTTTTATGAATACTATTATTTTTTTTTGGCTTGACTAATTATGGTTGGTTCAAAGTTCCCCAGCCCCCCCTCCCACCCAAAATCCTGACTCCGCCCTTGCCACCGTCACTGCCGCTCCCCACCACCTCTCTTTTCCATCTCTCTCTCTACAGCCTCCTAACTCCACCACCGCTCCCTTCCCCGCAGCACCACTGCTGCTCCCCATCCTCTCTCTATCTCTCTCCCCCACCCTAGTCGATTGGTAGTTGGTAATATTGTACTGGGTGTTACAAATATCTGTGAGGAGGAGAAAGGGGTGATACATGGGTGAATAAAACACTCACCTGATCTGAACAAATACTGAGATGTCAACGAATTATTGAAAGTCTAAAACCCTATCGAGCCAATAATAAGAAATATATGTATAAATAAATATATATATATTAATATATTAAGAGAGATAGAGATCATGTGCCTTAAAAAGGAATCAAATAGATTCATCAAGGAAGTCCATGGCCTCTTCATCTTGTTCATCTTTCTTCATGTCCCCGTTAGGATGCTAGGAAAATGTAATAAAATTAAAGAAAGTGAAATATTGATTCTTGATCAGATACTCTTTGCGCCAGCAAGAAAAAAGTCGTGCAATTTTCTCTGGTGCCAAAGTTTTGCCATTTTGTTGTGTTTTAGGTATGATTAGACTATATTTTTGTTGATTTTGGCCATTCTATGGCTAACGGCAACACCAGAGAGAATTTTTCATATTGGTCCAAATGTGATCCGATTAAAAACGGATTCAATTCATTTTTGATTATTTTATTTTATTTTGTTAATATTTTAAATTTGAGACACCACATCACTCGATAGGACCAGGGCAGTTGGACCCTTAGGCGGTCGTTGCCTAAGATCCCAGCCAATAAGAAGGCCTCAGTTTTTTTGTTTTTTTATATTATATCCTTCCTAAAATTTTTATTTTATTCACTCCAGACCAATATAAAGGCCCCAAAATTTGTATTTCCTTATACTATAACTTTCAAAAAAAATTATTTGTTTATATTATAACCTTTCTAAAAATGTTATTTTCTTCTTATTATTAAACTCTGCCTAATAGAAAGGCCCCAATTTTTTTTTATTTCCTTATATTATAACCTCCTTAAAATTTTTATTTGTATCGATTATTAGACCTAACTAATAGAGATTTAATAGGGGCCAAAAGATTTCTATCTTTACCTTACCTCCTTTTTTTTTTTTTTTTTTTTTTTTTTTTTTCTGACATATTTTTCCTCATTTTTCTAATTGGATTGACATACATATATTAGATATTAAAAGGCCATTTTTATATTTTTCGCCTTAGGCCTCAAATTATATTGAGCCGCCCCTGAATAAGACTAACTTTGTTTTAAGAGAGAATGACCCAAGCATTATCCAAAAAATTATGACACTCATGTGTGAGTTACGCTATGCGAAATGGATGTGGAAGTTGGATCTAAAATAAAAACTGGAGGGGGGTAAATAGGTTTTCTTG